TTTCCCATGATTGAAAAAAAAACATCTTTCCGTCGAATATGGCCAACCCTGTATATCCTTTGGACATTACTTAATAATTAAGCGCTTTCACGAGAATTTTATTTATATCGCTGTGTTCCTTACCACGTGGTCTTATTCTTGGTTTTTTAGCAGAGTTTATAATAGATTTTGCGATCAATATTCACTTTCACGATTTCATCTTTCTTGTGTATTCATTAATCGTAAATTTCACATTGAAATTATATAGAGCTCGGTGATGGCTGCGATAGCTACTGCTTCGCATGTACATACGCATGAAAACTGATGCATATATGATGTACGGTCAAACTTGTACTCTCCATCATATCCCTACTCGCGAACGCTTGCGTGGGTGAGTTTATGCGTGTCACAGCACGCCCGCAATTAGCGAAATAATTAATAGTATGGGCACTCAACACGCACTCGATCCATAATACACCTCAATCTGTATTCCGTATTTAGTAAATTTATTAGAAATGTGTAAATAATTAATTTCCTCTGTGATTAATTAATTTTCATCTGTGCGTTTTTCGTATTAAAGTATTTCATTATTGTCGTATTTTATCTCTAGTACAATAAAATTTATTTTAGTTATTGCACATTTATATGAATAATGATTTATACGATGCATCTTTACACTCGATCATATTTTATTTTTCCCTGTAGACATGTAATAAATTAAATCATCTTTTCTTTTTCCGTCACGTATATTTAAATTTTGTAATACATCACTTTTAACAAATTGCGCCTATGATTAATTACATACGTTAAAGCATTAATTGAACTGTATTTTTCCCTGCAAAATAATTGCTAAAGACATTCTTTCTATATTTCAATATTACATCTTTAATGATATTCTTTTATATTATTTCTAAGAAATCATCTATACTAAAAAACTAGTAACGAATAAAGGTGACAGCTGTACAAACTTTATAATGTTAATGTATGCAGTTTAATAAGCTATTTTATATGATACTTGTCATAACTAAAATAGTTGTAATAAATAAAATAATTTATTTATCTATGTATATTAATTCCACATATAAACTAGTTGTCATCTTTACAGTTTATTACCTTTACAGAAATAACCTAACATTTATTATTGGCCAATTTATTATTGAAAGACAATAAAATAATTACTTATTTAGAGTACTAAAAGTACTGGACAACAATGCTTTCATTACTTAAAATAAGTAATTAATTACCGTCTTTCAGTATTAGATTTTTGTAAAGGCACTATGTCTTTTTCTTTGAGTATACTACGATCTTTAATTAACTGTATTTATTTTCTTAATATTTTTAGCATAATAACATTTTATAATACTTAACAAATGATATTTATTTTAAATGTGATTAATCATCTTTTTATTAATCATTTATTGATATGTTTATTTTTAGAACAATTCTTCAATGAAATGATTCTTCATTACTAACAGATTACTGATTACAAATACATCTAATTAGTTATTTTACTGTTACTAGTGTTGCCATGATAATAATTGACATGGCTTAAATTCATGAGTCATGTGTCTTCCGTTAGCACAATTCGCTATTAGAGATCTGCAACGTTTGTATTCCTCGTATGACTTGACCATCTTTCAACTTTAACGAGCCATAATACAAATGAACATAGTTATTCAAGTCCCCAGCCTGTGATTCATTACATAGTGCAATTTCAAATCATTATCACGCATGATCACGCGATATCGCGTCAAATTGATCACGTTCAATTAATCTATTATGTTTGACTACGTTGCCTCTGAGCGATAATCACTGATTTGCCGTAATGGTCGGCTTAACTAGTTGAATCTACGATTTATTAAAATTTCAACTTGCGAAGCTTTCGGGCACTTATGTTTGAACAGGCCGTCTCGAAAATTGCGTTTGCCATTTAGCCATGAAAGCGGTGCGCCGACATTGCTTTTACTAATTCATAACTATTTCGCGGTGGACGCTGATCGATAACCGCCCTACAGCCGTTTTGTTAAACGTTCCACAGCTACCTTTTATTTCTTAAACACTAAGCTTCATTGAGAGCGTCCATCAATTAAATTTATACATACTTTACCATGTTATTTCCGATCCGCTTAGCTTATACACAGCGTACTTTATTCACTGCACAATTAATGCACCCGCGTAATACATGAAAGATGACTTTTAGAAGACGCATTTATATCACTAGCAAAAGAAAAACGGAAACTTGGACGATTGACGAGCGAATCCTCGTCAGATATAATTCGCGGAATGATGAACGTTGCGGGGAACAGCTTCTTTTATGAAGCACTTGGTCCTTTCACGCACTTACAAACCTCTACGGCTTCGGGGTGTTTTATCCACGGTCAAATCTAATTGTTTGTCACGACGGAATAATGTGATCAGAGATCGTAACTCTTAAATTAAGTTATTAATTAAAAAGAGATTTGAATTTAAACTTTCGAGATAATTAGATATCTTTATCAATTTTTAATAATTAGATTTAAACTGATGAACTATTTAATTAAATATCAATAAAAAATTAGGATAAATAATTATATCTAGTGTTATATAAAAAAATAAATACTGAAATTTTTCCATTTGTAGTAGACAGAAATATTCAAAATTTCAATTGAGCAAAACTTATCAATGTTCCACATGCAATATTTTACATTTCATATATCTAAATAGTTACACATGCAAAATGCATCCAATTATTTGAAATTTGAATTTCATAATTTTAACTATATTAAAATCGAGAATAAATTTTCATAATGTCAACATCATTAAGCATGACACAAGATTAATTGTATTGATCAGTCCGAGGTAAACAAGATTCTCATTTAAATTCTAATCACAATACGCACACGCACACACACATAAAAAAACACACACTGAAAAAAATGTTTGATAGAAATATACGAGTCAGAAAATTCTAATCATGTTAATCAGAAAAAAATTAGTTATCTGAATTAAAATTATAATAAATTCAACCAGAAAATTCTGATTTATCAACATTTAACAACACTGTTTAATAAAATTTGTAATGTCAAAATTATTCAATTTAAGTTATTTTCAATCTTCATCTTTTTCATTTCTATAGATCACTATTGCTCCTATTCAACATGTTATTAATTTAACTAAAACAATGACGTTAAATAATTTAACTCAAAAAATATATTAAATTTGAATAAAATTTAGTTTATTATTTACTAAGTACACATATCAATATGAATCTTGTTTATTTTGAAACTAAGTACAATGGAATGAATTGATTTACATTTTAACACACTTAGAAGTAACATTTAAAAATAACACAATGTTATTTAACAATGTTATTTAACTTAAGGGATTAGATGCCATTGCTTTTTTGATATCTAACAGTGAATGAGAATTCTAATTAATACCATTTTTTTTTTCAGTATATATATATATATATTATATAAAAATTGTGAATTCACTTATATATATTAGGTGTTGGAATTAATTCGTAGCGTTTTTAATGAAAGAATGATATTTATTTCACATGAGCATTAAAAAATACATTAATGAAAGTACTTCCCGCGTGTTTGCGAATATATTATTATGTAACCAAACTCCACAATAGACTGATTAGTCACAGAATTGCCTACGTGACGCGTTTCGCGACACATCCGTTCGATCAGATTATGCAGTTGAATAGATCGTGAGCAGAAATCGTGGATTACTCACTGGCAGATGTACAAGACTCGTGAATGTTCTCGCTGGTCAAACCGACAGATACTGATGGAGAAATCGGATGCCGTGTACTCCGTTTCTAGTGAACCGACAGTATTCCGGAGAATTTTATCGCGAGTCGCGGGGTCAGTTTTGGGTCAGTGTATATCGCTAACGACGCCTTAAAGATAATGCGGAAACATCCACGATAAACACCAGTGGTGCGTCCAAAGATATGCGAATATTCAACGGGGTTTACAAATCGTTTCTCTTGAACTCGAAACTAATGACGAAGAGAAATTTCGAAGAGACTGTTATTCCAGATTATCGGTCGATCTTTACGAATCGGTATTGAGATTCTTATTTGAAGCCTCGTTTAATAAACGAGCATTATATTTTAGACAAAACAGAATAAAGTTAATAAGACAGCGAGAATATCACAAAAATTTATTTCATCTTTCGCGAGAAATAAGAAGAAGATATCTTCGATTGGGCTTCAGGCGAATCAATTGAAGTCCCAGCAGACGTTGAATGCATCGACATCATTGCCGAGGTCTTATACCGGGTGTCGTTCGAATATCGCGCCTCAACAACAATGACAGTCACGATGAGACATACGCATGCGTTATATTATCGACAAAAGTCCACGGCAAGTGCTCGGTCAGTCGCGGCCGAGCCGCGCCGCGCGAGGGGCTTCGATTTGACGTTTCTCCTCGCTGCGACTATCCAGCCTCGCTCGCCTACGACGCGAACGTCGTAACCGCCTTGCAGTTTCTCCGATTGGTAAGGCTTTCGACTTCGAAATGGGAACATCGTGAGATCATCTCATCATTGCCCGTCATCCGTCGTCGTCATCGCCGGAGCGGTTCTCCAAGCGCGCCGCCGCACTGCGCCGGTCCCTCAAGAGAGGCATCGCCGCTCATCGCGTACGCCGCTCCTGATTTGACGAGGCCAAGGACGTTTACGTTTGCGAACATAGACGCATACAGGTGGAAGACGCAGACAATTGATAAACGCGAGAGGAACGGGACGATCCCAGGTGGAAGGCTGAAGAGGCACGCAATTCGTCGTCTACCATGGCAAGCTTGGCGAGCAGTTCATCGTCGGCGGGCCTCACTAGAGCCCCGACGATGCTGGAGCAGCTCCTCGAAGAGATTAATTTCCAGAGGACAAAAGAGCTCAGGCAAATGCTCAAGGATGGTTCGTATTCGTTGCCGCTGGGGTAAAGCTTGAGGGTGAGAACGTACACAAGCCGAGTTAGGGTGTGCTTTAACCAGGAATTATGTAAAGGGGGTGTTTTGAAGGGTTGACCGCCGATAGGAAATATACAACCGTCTCGCTTATGGGAGATATACTTCAAAGAAACAAAATTGTTCTTCTTTTTTGCTTAATTTTTGTTTTGAAACTAATATTTTCTCTATTTTATTTTATTTCAATTTTTTGAATGTAAAAAAACCTGTCCACATCTTTATTATTATTTATATCAAATTTTTAATTTATGTTAAAAGAATTTTAAGTATCTTGTGCAGTTTAATTTATTTCTCAATGCCTTAAGCTTTTAAAATTTAGATAACACAGATGAAAAGATTTAAAAATAATTTTTAATGCACGGAAAATATTTTTTAATTACAATATTTTGTAAGCGAGTTGCTTAACA